CGTCGCTTACCTGAATGGTCGATTGTCGGCCGTGTTTGAATACATGGTCAATGGCGATCTGCATGAATTCCTTAGAATACGTGCTCCATCTCATCCGGATCACAATCCCTGCCGATGACACCAACGATTTCATGAGCATAGCCACCCAAGTGAGTCTGCTGTCCTAATGAGCCTTGGGTATTTAAGTAGCGTGCTGAACTATTTACCACTGATTGCGGCCAAAGTAGTTTGGGACTGGAATTCGTCTCCGTCTAAACAATTTGTCGGAAATAGCAGAACACGCGGTCCGCCTGACACCCTACCACATTTTTGATCAGTCGGCTCTGAGAGTGGTTCTATAGTTCCTGTTCTCAAAACGGTCCATCATATCCCAAAGGGGAGATAGGAGCGGCTTTCGCACGAAGTAACAGCCGTATCAAAAAAAAAAACTAGGAAATTCTGGTAGTAATTTGGCATGTTGTTTTCCGCGAAGAAGAACGACGAAGGATAGGAAATTGATGACCTTCCATTCCTGGACACTTGCTCCTTTTTCATATAATTTTACAGTGCTTTTTTGAAAAAAAAAGAAACGAATAAGGAAATGAGAGTATAGAAAAATATATGGAAAAATTTATATTGAATTTGGTAATAAAAAAAAGTGTTCTAGATCGCCTACGGAATGGAGTATCTGGCCTCAATGGCATTTGTCCATCGCGATCTTGCTTCAAGGAATTGTCTGGTCGGAGATCAACGAATCATCAAAATTGCCGATTTCGGATTGATGCGATCGTGTTATGATAGCGATTATTACAAGGTTGGTCTTACTTCAAAACGTTCATAGCATTAAAAATGGTAGATATTTGCGTTGGTCAGGATGTCCCTGGCAATGGTCAGCTTGGTCTACAAACTAACTTAGATCATTTCGGGTTATTTCTTAGCTTTTGTGTCACTTGACTCGCGATGAACAAGAATCCAGACATACTGCGGAAGTAGAGATCGTATGTTAGTTATGCTCGATGAAGCTGTAAGCAAGCGGGTTGGAGGTCAGTGAAGGGTAGGGCCACATCGACGTTAGGTATAGCTGGTTGACAAGGAGAAAGAGAGCAGCAACTCAGGAAAGGTTTACGACATCAGAGAGTCCGATACCACAATTGATCAAGAAATGGGGACTACACGGAGTCAATTTTCAAGTGTCATTAAGTGATGGGTTCGGTCAGTTGCAAGCAACCTTTTTTGAGATGGCGCATTCGGTCAGTTCACAGTTACAATGTCTCACAGTTCTTTTAATGAGGTGTCGGTGGTTTTGTGCCTGGGTCTGAAACATATCAATCGTATGTAAGAAGAATGGCAGTTTACTGGCCTGGGGTAAATCTAACTTGAGTCTCGATCCAAGCTGCTTGTAGTGACGGCAGCTTTCGCTATGGTCCGTACCTGTAGACACCATCGAATAAAATGACATATTTATCTCAATCATAAGATTGACAAGAATTCTGGGTTATTAACAAGACTTGCCCCAGATGGGACCCCTAGTGGATGAAAGCTGGAGAATGAGGGAGGCCTA